ACATCATAAGACAACTGGGTAACTAAATACATTTCAGTAAATTAAAAGGTGAAGAAAATTGGTGAGGTGTGTAGATAACATATAGAGATTCTATGATAAAGTATCTCTTCCTACCCTGATGCTGGAAGGCATTCCAGGAGCAGAGACAAGAAAAAGAGGAGAAGAAGGATATAATATGAGAATTAAGAAGTTAAAAATAACTTTGGGATTGAGATCTTAACTCTTTGAGTCCCAAGGAACGCATCATACATTCATAGATTCTTACCTAGAGGTCCAATGAACGCATGATGCACTGATTGTACGCCTCTCTTGACTACCCTTGGGCCTGTGATGCTAAACCCCCTGGGACTCAAAGAGTTAACTCAACACCTAGATAGTACAGTATGATTTTAGAAAATTATTTAATGTACACAGGAACCCGTATACTTGTGTTGAGTTGAATGGTATTGTATGGGTTAACGTCAAAATGTAATTATGCGAGACAAAAGCTTAGTCATCAGACAAAACTCCCAAAATGTTTATTTGACATAGTAGGTAAAAAATGCAGCAGAACAGTTACTGGATTCTTGCTTGTCACTGGGGGAAATGAGACTTAATGACTAATTCCTGTTTTTGTGAGAACATTATGAGTGGGTTTTTTCCCCACAGTTTCATTGTTTATTGTTTTGTGTGTTGGTTTTCCCAGGTTAAACCGTTTGTTAAAAAAAAAAAGTTCAACTCATGCAGTACTAAGCAACTTACCATGTGTTTGTTGATGTCACTTGAAATTACTAACTTTTCTCAACCTTCTTGTAACCCATCCAGTTCTTGTACTCATCATTTCTGTTCTAATTCTTAGTTCAACCCCCTTTGTCCCCTTAGTGTTATTGTGACTCCTTAGACTCCTTCAGTGGTTAGAGTAACAACTTAAGAGAAAGTAAAGTAATACTTGTTTGGTAATAAAATATTTAAAACAAAAATCCCTTCTTCTTCTTCTTCTTCTTCTTCTTCTTCTTCTTCTTCTTCTTCTTCTTCTTCTTCTTCTTCTTCTTCTTCTTCTTCTTCTTCTTCTTCTTCTTCTTCTTCTTCTTCTTCTTCTTCTTCTTCTTCTTCTTCTTCTTCTTCTTCTTCTTCTTCTTCTTCTTCTTCTTCTTCTTCTTCTTCTCTTCTTCTTCTTTTTCTTTTTCTTCATCTTTTTCTCCTTCTACTTCTTCTTCTTCTCCTTCTTCTTCTTCTTCTTCTTCTTCTTCTTCTTCTTCTTCTTCTTCTTCTTCTTCTTCTTCTTAGCTGCTTTTTATGACCAGCCTGTTAGTGCACAGTAGATCTTTGCCCTTCCCCAGATGAGGCCCCTGAAGCTTATATAAGCTTAACGAACATTGTGAAAATCTGTCTTTTAAATAAAAGCTACTTGGTTAAGTCAGTTAAAACAAAAAATTGCTTTTGAGTTCTGCAGTATATATATTTTTTGTTCCCTCGGGGTTATAGTCCAGGCTAGGAAAGATTCTGAATGCTGAATTTAGTGAGAATGAGATCCTCTATCCTAAACTTCTGTTTTTCTAAAAATGTGCGGTGCACAAAGTGTCTAAATACATATGCCAGTACCCACCAGAAAATGTCTTTAAAAAAAAAGGTGATGGTGCTATGTATCCCCTTGAAAAAAGCTCTGCTTTACTACCAAAGTTTCCAATAGAACAAACATTTTGAAAACTTGTCTTTCAAAAACAAGCATTTGCTTGGTTGACTTTACAAGTTTGTTTGCGGATTCAACATGTATAGAGAATATTGTATCAGATGTAGTCGATGCTATGAAAGATCTGGAAAGCCGGTCTTGGTGATAAAGAAAAAGTTACTTGAAATCCCTTGCTTATGAAAGGGTTAAGTGGCTCTGTTGTCCAGGTCATGCAGTGGCATTGAAGCAGCCGGTGCTGCAACAGGTTTCATTTATATATTTGTCAAAGAAAGGTGTGTATAATTTCTGTTACACTTTGTCAGATTGTAATGACTTTAATTTGTCTTGTGTTCGAGAATTTACTGTCTAGATTGTGAGTTAATACAAAGATAAGAAAACAAGTTTTTCCAGTTTTTACTGACTAGATTAGGAGTTAATACAAAGGAATAAAGTGTGTTCAAGTATTTACTGACTAGATTAAGAATTAATACAAAGGAATAAAATGGGTTCAAGTATTTACTGACTAGATTAAGAGTTAATACAAAGGAATAAAATGGGTTCAAGTATTTACTGACTAGATAAGGAGTTAATTCAAAGGAATAAAATGTCTTTAAGTATTTACTGACTAGATTAAGAGTTAATACAAAGGAATAAAGTGTGTTCAAGTATTTACTGACTAGATTAAGAGTTATTACAAAGGAATAAAATGTGTTTAAGTATTTACTGACTAGATTAAGAGTTAATACAAAGGAAAAAAAGTGTTTTCCAGTATTAACTGACTAGATTAAGAGTTAATACAATGGAATAAAGTGTGTTCAAGTATTTACTGTCTAGATTAAGAGTTAATACAAAGATAAGAATAAAATGTGTTCAAGTATTTACTGACTAGATTAAGAGTTAATTCAAAGGAATAAGTGTTGTTAAGTATTTACTGACTAGATTAAGAGTTAATACAAAGGAATAAATTGTGTTCAAGTATTTACTGACTAGATTAAGAGTTAATTCAAAGGAATAAAGTGTTTTTAAGTATTTACTGACAAGATTAGGAATTAATACAAAGGAATAAAGTGTGTTGAAGTATTTACTGACTAGATTAGGAGTTAATACAAAGGAATAAAGTGTGTTCAGTAATTTACTGTCTAGATTAGGTGTTAATACAAAGAAAGAAAATAAATGTGTTCAAATATTTACTGACCAAATTAGGAGTGGACTAGATTAGGAGTTGATACAAAGATAAGAATAAAGTGTGTTCAATGATTTACTGTCTGGATTAGGTGTTAATACAAAGATAGGAAATAAATGTGTTCAAGTATTTACTGACCAGATTAGCAGTTAATACAAAGATAGGAATAAAGTGTGTTCAAGAATTTACTGTCAAGATTAGGAGTTGATACAAAGGTGGGGATAGAGTGAATTTAAGTATTCACTATCAAGGGCAGTAGTTATAAATAATAATGAAAACAGGGAACCATTTCCCCATGTGTTAGCTTGGCTCTTAAGCAAAGCAAAGAATGCAAATATTGTAACATTCGTTTCATGGAAGCCAGCAAAACTAAAGAAGGTTGGCAGTCCCATTCTTGCTGAAAACCTCTGCAACAAAATCAAGTCAGTCATGAGCAAGTCCTAAAGGAAAGAAGACTAACAGTCAGATAGATGGAGGTTCTTTACCTAGAAGAAATAGGTAGTGACAGAGGAAAAAACCAAAAGCTTTCCGGATCTGACTGATTTTGTTTTTCATGTAAGAAAATCTTCAGAATTTGCACCTAATATGTTTAAGTTTTAAATGGAGAGGGACTGGTATTTGAGGCTTATAGTCTATGAGTTTATGAGGGGGACCAGCATTTGTGAGCAGTAACCTTCAAAATGTTTTATTTCTTTTTTGTTTTGATTATATTTGCTTACTTTTCCATGTACAACTGTGTATAATCAGTATAGTTCTGGAAAAATATAACAAAAAACAGACTGTAGACAAAATGGAGAAATCAAAAACAAAACAGCATAAGAAAATGTAAAGAGAAAAATACCTCACATTCCTTAGCAAATGAAAATAAATTTGTCATTAAAATAATAATTTATTTTGCACTGAGGATAAACATTATTTCTGGCTGTTTTGGAGAATACTCATTAATTTTCATAGCAATAATGATTTGTTTCATTCATCAAGACAATTATTTGTGTCTTGCAGAATTACCTTTAGGCGGGCAGATACTGTGACAAACATTTCAAAAGAATGCATTGAAAATCCATTCTTGCCAGCTGCCATTCAGATATTGTTTATTCTGTTTTAAAGCCATTGGAAACAAAAGCTTTTATGCTTAGAATCTTTTGCATGACCTGTTTCAGAAAGTGGGTCAGAATACTTGTTTGAATAGATCCAGAAAGTGGATAGCAATATTTTTTTTAGCATATTTCGGTAGCAATGTAGGGGGAAAAAAGAGGAACAGAAAGAGATATTAAAATAAGAATCAGAAGATAAAGACTAAAGGTCTTTGGTTTGAATCTTCATCATTAAAGGTTAGCTTCATTGAATCCACTGATGTTTTGGAAATATAACAGTGTGGAGGCCTTATTTTGTTCCACGAGGAAACTCTCACACCACTGTCCAAAAACCATTAGACTGGTTTTTTTCCCCCCAAACAAAATATCTGCTGTGGAAATTGAACACTGGTACTCAAGAATGGTGAATTAAGAATCGACATCATAGCACTCGGAACACTTCCATAAATGCTCTATTCCCATCTTCAGCAGCAAGTGAAGAGTTCCAATTCTGATGGTGTAGTAACTGTCTGATTGTACATCCATCTTGCCTTTCCCTTGAGTGTTGAGCATCAGCCATCACCCCTGGTAACTCCCCACAGCACCATTCTCTCAGACCTTAATGATCTGCTTGTGCCTCCACACTGTTCACTCCTTCCCAAAGGGCCCTCACAGCATCTAGCATGTGATATTTCAGTTCACAGTCAAGCGGTGCAGCATTTCCCAACACACCAGCATGACCTGGAGAAAATATCCAAAGGACACCAACTGTCTGGTACCTCTAAAGCGATGATTGTAACTCTGCACAGAACATGCCTGTCTCCACCTTTCTCAACATACTTTTTCACTCAAGAAGGATCATTCGCTAACCTCTAAGCCACAGAACAACCAAGGTACACACCGCACTCAAATGTAATTACTTGTGTTGTCAGTGTAAATACAAGCATGTAACCATATCCTTTTGTTTACAAAAATTCAATAATTTTTTTTCTTTTAGGTCTGACAATCCAGCTGATATGCTTTTGCAAGTTATAAAGTGATTATTTCATGATATATCTTGAAGACTAAAACATCATTTAGAAACATTTTGACTTAAATGTACAAGATGGAGGTAGCTGTTGACATGAGTTCCAGTTTGAATTCAAATGCATCAACGCAGACTGATTTTGTGAACAGCCCAATACTGTGGCAGTGCCTTTATGTCTTACAACATATGCCAGAGTTTCGAAACTTGACTTATAGGGTAAGTTTTGCCATACCATAAGATCACACAAAAGTCATGTTTTAGTGTGTATGTGTGTGTGTACGTGTGTGTGTGTGCATGCATGCGTGAGTGAGTGAGTGAGAGAGAGCAATTTGCTTGCAGTGTATCCATATGAAATAGTTCATCATCATCAAAAGCCATGCTGGTTATAGGTGGTGCCAGTTATCTCTCTACGTCTTTCAGTTGATTACATTGGGCGGTCTTCTCTCTATCTCTTTCAGTTGATTATAGTGGGCTGTCATCTCTCTACCTCTTTTGATTATAGTCGGCAGTCATTTCTCTACCTTTTTCAGTTGATTATAGTTTGCAGTTTTTTTTCTCTACTTTTTTCCATTTATTACAGTGTGCAGTCTTCTCTCTGTCTCTTTCAACCTCAGATAATTGTTTTATTATCCCTTGTTGTTATACTAAGCTGTTTTGAAGCTGAAACTAATAAATCATCATCACCAGCCTTCAGTTTTGCTTTATGCTTCAGGGAGGGAATCAGTCTGTGGTCTACTCTCATTTAATGGTACTAGTTATTGTCATTCAAGTTGGCGTCTGTGACTTAGACATTGTGAACACATTTCATTATCCTGGTTTCAATCCCAGTTGTATGCGATTTGGCAGCAGACCTGTTCAGTTGGTTTTGGCAGTCATATTAAGAGCCGACCATTCAGGAAGCAATGGCAAACTACTAAACATAACATTTTCCTAGAAAAACCACAACAGTAAAAAAAATGCTAAGGTTGGATCTACAACATCCTGTAAAGGATATACAGCTAACTTTTATGTGGATGAATACTGTCTTTAATGGCTTCAGTCAGTATTTATCCTGGGCACCCTCTTGTTCTCACATGAGATTGTTTTAGTTGTAGTACCTGTGTTGATAGTTGTGGCTGCATTCCAACAAGATTACCAAGCTGTTTGATTTTCTTTTCAATCAATTTTTGCAAGATATTGTCCAACAATCTGTCTGATAGTGTCATTTCTCACCCGGTCTGGTTCCAGAACTGGAGTTTTGCATGCACACTCAATTTACAGATCTGGCTTATTTGTATGCAGACCACTGGTCCTTCCCCTCTCAGGTAGTTGCACTCAGACTTCTAAGGAAGTTACCCTAATTAATCACCTTGTATGACATGCTTGTAAGGGAGGCAGTGGGTCTATTCTGTTTTCCGTAGAATAGGGTTCCCACAACCCACACACGGATCTCAGGTTTTAAAGGCAAAAGAGCCTTTATTAATATCCAAGTTTGGAATGTATAGCACAGTGCTGGTATGAGCTGAGTTAAGCTGAATCATGAACCGACATCACAGCACTTGTGACATTCCCATACATGCTCCATCCTCATCTTCAGCAGCCTGCAAAGAGTTAAAGTTTTGATATTATGAGTAGCTGTTTGATTGTGTGACTGTCTTACCTTTCCTCTAAGTGTTGAATGTTGGCAAGATCCCTGTCACTTCCCAGTGCACCTCAGAGGGTATCGAGTGCAGAGCATGCACTCTGTAGATCCAGATTCTTGTTGTTGATGTTGTTGTTGTTGCTGTTGTTGTTATTGCTGCTGCTGCTGTTGTTGGTGTTTTTAAATGTTTCTAGGAAAAAGGATAAATTTATAAGAATAACTAGCTGTATATAATTCTTTATAGTAATCACCGATTTATAACATCTATAAGGAATAAGATTGTTGTTTGTGTTCTTGTTATCACAAACTTCCTTGTTAATTCACTTGAATTATTACAAGAAGCATTCAGATTTGATAACATTAAATAGAGCCCAGTATTTTCTTGAATCAGGATGTGTCATGATGTCCTGGTGTCGTCACCATTCAGGATGTATCATTTGTCAGTAATATCTTCACACACACCATCCATCTTCAGTTTAAACTTTTCTTGTATTTATTTTGCATTATATTTTTTTTGGAGAGGACTGACATTTTATGTGTTCAGAATTGTGTGTACTGTTGCAATCTGAAATACATCGCATTATGGGGGCTGCATGGTCTAAAGGTATGGCATCCACCTCGAGTTCTGGAGGTCCCAGGTCCAAACATCAGTAAAGGCTGGGATTTTTTCACATGGACTTCTAGTAATTTCCTCTGGTCTCTGGGTAGTGAGATTGGATACCCATGTATTGTTACACATGTTAATAAAATACCTTGACAGTTGGAAATGGAAAAAGAGTAGCTTAACAGCACTGCTCGGACAAAATTTGAAGTTGAAAATCTACCCAAAAAGTATTTCAGGATCCTCGCCTAAGCAACGGAGTTGGTGCACTGTGCTGAAATTCTTCAGACTCAGGCTTGAGTTGGTAGTAGAATGGAGCACTTATGGGTTTACACCTGTGTGCCATGATGTTGATCTGTCAACTAAACTAAACTAAACATACATGGAATTAATATGAAATAACTAAAAGTGTCACAAAAACTATACATTATCTGAAATACAGTAAACTGTATACCACACTTGTCTTTCAGAAGAGTCATATATGATGTTGATATAATCACCACTAATGTGACTACTTTGACTATAGTCTGTTCCAAAAGTTGTGCCTTCAGAATTCAACAGATATCCTGAAAACTCGTGTATGGATCAACACACATTTTTTGCATTTGGTGTTAGATTTCCCATTTATCATTTTTATCATTTCACAACTTACAATTGCATAGATGCTGATGTTTTCTTACAGCTGCAATTTGCTTTGATCTTTTTCAGAATAATAATAGGTTTACCACTTAAAAAATATGCAATAATTGACACAAATCCTGTACTTTTAAATAAACTAATCAGCAGGCATTATGGCAGTACATGATATATCCACTTTTCTATTCAAAATAAGCGCACCTTCTCTCAGGATATTACCTAAAAAATGTGTGCAGTTTTGATATTTTTGCCTACTTCTCCTCAAGCCATTTACCCTAAACATGCTAATTGTATACTTTATTGGTGTTTCTTTTTCAAATACCATAAATAATGCAAAATAAAACTAGTTGTTTGTTAACATTATAATTATTTTCCTGAAAAGACATAATTAACAGGTTGCATGCCAAATTTCATTAATTTACACTGAGCGGTTACTGACTTACACATTTTTAAGGTTGTGCACAAATTTTAGAATGGGCTTTACCGCCACTACTACTGTACGAAGCTGAACCGTAAAGAACAACAAATAATTACAAATAAAATACACATTCATTAGCTGGGGCCTTTATAGATTAGTGTGAATTATATGGTAGAGCAGAATTATCAATGTTTAGTTGTGAAAAAACAACAAATTTTAGTGAATCAAGAGCTGCAGAAAAGAGCCTAGTGTTGGATAGGACTCACTTAGAAAACCTGATAACAGTGTAACAAGAATGTCTTTTTGCTGGAACCTACAGGCTCAAAGAAGTAAAGGCAGCCCTCCAAAAATGAAGAAAATAATTGGATTATTTCAATGTGCATAGATTGAATTGAACAGAAGAGAGAACAAACTGTTAAAGTCGCTTTGGACACACACAGAAATATTTAAAAATATACAACATGAGTAGACCATCTTGACTTAGTTGCAATATTGAGGTCTACTTGTGAAAACATCAGCAAGCAAAACCCAGAGGACAAGAGAAAGTGGGTGTCACAGACAATATCAGTCATGAGAAAACACTAAGGTGAGAAAAGGGAGCAATGGTATGATATGATTGTACAGTTCAAACAGAATGTTAAAATGTTTAATTAAGAATCGACATCACAGCACTCAGGACACCCCCATAAGCGCTCCGTCGCCATCTTCAGCAGCAAGCGAAAAGTTAAAATTTCTGATGATACCAGTAACTGTCTGATTGTATATCCGCCTCGCCTTTTTCCTGAGTGTCGAGCGCCTGTCAGATCCCCTTGTAACTCCTCACAGTGCCATTCTCTATTTGCAAAAGTACAGCATAGGACAGGGCATCAGATAATATCACAGAAATAACTTTTACTCCATAATACATGATTCACTGAATTATAACATTTAGAACCAGTCTGTTTTATAATATTTTTTTGTTTTAGTTTGTTGCAATTAACTACATAAGCTTTGTGGCTTGAAAGGTAGATATGAATAGTGTTTGTGAAAAATGTGAACTATTTATTAGATTTGTATTAATTTTGAGTCAAGAGACCTGGAGGCAGTGCTTTATTTTCCTCCATTTTTACAGTTCCACTGACCTAGTTTCAGAGTAGAGAGAAGAAACATTAAAATAGAGCTTGTTTTTCTATTTTAATGGTAATTCCTTGTAAGCTGAGTTTAGATTTTATGCATGAGTGATTTATAGAACAGAGTTGAGTGTTGGTTTGAAGTATGAGACAAATATATTTTTTCATCTGGTTGTGTTAAAAAAATCATGTAGGTGGGGCAGTGTGTATGTGTTCATAGATGGGTGAGTTTTTATTGATGTGTGTGTGTATCTGTATGTGTAGCTGGCATAGGCCTCATCAAATGACCAAAGAACTGGTACATAGATAAATTACATAAATGACCTGTGGAACATGTCAACTCTTTGTTAGTTGCTGAAGAAGGGGATGGAGCACATGTGGGAATGTCCTGACTGCAGTGATGTCAATTCATTCATTCATTTATTTATAAGTGGATGATAGACAGGATGATAGATGTATTGTGAAATGATTTAAAGGGTGTGGAAAAATAAAGACATTTTTAGTTATACACGTTTGTAACTTATCTATCTTAAAACACCTTCCTCAGATTACAAAAACCTGGAATGAAGTGGAAATGATCATGGTGTACAGGGAAGGAGTTGTAGGAGTCTTTGGACCTCCAGTTGACAGCATTACCTTGACACTTGACCCAAAGGGCAAATGCCTGTTATCTATCCCATTCAAACCAGTGCAGAGAGTGTCAGTTGTCTCTCCTGAGAATGGACATATTGAGATAGCATCTCTCCTGGCTGTGCTTAGAATGGTTGCAGGCAAGGGATACTTGTTTTGTCCTGGTCTTCCTGAGAGATTTCTGGCAGGAAAGGTATTGGAAACATTTTGAGCATTTAAAAAACATTAGTTGTAAATTAGACTTTGATAATAAAGTGTATCAAAGCAGTGTTTCTCCGTTATGAATTTAAACAAAGAAGACACAAACAATAGACTGCACAATTTATTGCCTGGCATATTACACTGTATGCCGTCAGGTGCAAAGCATACTACAGTAACAGTTGATTCAAATGTAGCAAATAAGTGAATCCTTGGAACTGAAACACAATATCGACTCCATTCATAAACTGTCTGTTTCACCAGGGTAACTGCAAAGTGAAGAGGATGTCTTTTTGTCTGCATAAATCTGGACTAAACCGGCATATAGCGGACGCTTCTGCAAATTTCAGTAATGTACTGTTGGCTTCATTTTAATCAATTGTTACTGTAGTTTGCATATAATGATGCAAAATATGCCTGGTAATAAGGTATATATGTTTGGTCTAGTCTTGTGATGAGATTTATTATGGAAAACATAATCAAACTGAAAAATTAATAATGGCTCCAGAAATTCCATATATGAAGCAATTGGAAAACATTGATGAAAAGAAATTTTTGAGGAATTTCCCTAAAAATAGGTAAAAACTGAAAACTGATTCAAGAAATTAGATTTAGACAGTCAAGATTTTGTGGACATGTTAAGAAGGTAAATAAACTTGAAAACATGGTCTTCTTCTTCTATTCATTCTCCATGCCTGTGGGTTTCAAATAGTGCTACAGGCCTCTGTGAAGGTTGTGATAAAAAGCATGGCCTCCTCTGATATGTACTGCTTGGCTTCTACCAGAATTCTAATGCTAACTGGCTAGACCTGGGAACTTTCTAAGTCTTATTCTGAATTTCTCTCTAATGCTGGTATTCTGAGTTCTGACCATAAAAAATCACTAACATCTGCATTCACATTTTTAGGCTGATAGTTTTGGGGTTGGGGGAGAATCAAGTAAGACTCATAACCTAGCAGATAATGGAAAAAAGAAAGAACATACCAGATGTTTCATAATATGTCTAGGAGCTCCATCATATTCATAATGCATGATAGGATTTGCAAACATTCACCATCACACAAGAAGAGGAAAGTGTTCCAGATTTGGGGCTAAATCCAGATTTTTGCAAATTTTTTTTTAGTAAATTAACCAAAGCTTCGATATTATCATACAGTAACTGTATCATACTGTGTGGTAATGAAACTGGATACTGCAAGTGCACATTCTTATTAGCCAAAAATCTATGTTACTGTTACACAGTGGGGAGGCCTGTATGTAATGGCTGTAATCGCAGCTCACAATTTCCATTGCATAGGAAAAAAGCCTTTTGTTTTTAATATTTATTATATATTATTGCTATTTACTATTGATTACAAATGTGCCACTGAGTGTGCGTCTTGCCAAGTCTAAAAAGCTTGTTAACAGTATCAAAATAGCAAAAAGGAACGCTAGCTGCCTACTAAATGCCACTCAAATTGCAACATGCGAGAGCTACCAGTTACTAATAATATGATGCTAGCTGTGCACGCATACTCTTAGCAGTGAAACGATGAGAAGAAAAGTATCACATGATACCCCTTCTAGTGTAACCGTTACCTGCTAAAACTTAATGTTGTTGAAACCACTTACACATGCAAATTGATTAGGCCTCCCCACTGCTGTTACATTGCTGAAATAAGTCATTTGCATATAATGTATTTTTAAAACTAATATATAGCTTCGTTTAATCATCCCTTTAATATTGTCTTCTGCAGGCCTGTGGAAAATTTGTGGTTCTTCATAAAGTTCCATTTAAACGCTACCAGTCCACAGCATGTCCTGTCTACTATCAAACACAACAGACTAATCCCAAGTCTTCACTGTGTGCACTCTGCCCACGATGTATGCAGGCTGCAAAGTGGATTCAGTCCCTTCCATATTTTTCTGCAAATGGGACAGCAAAGGCTTTACAGCAGCCAGCACAGCAAGCAGGAAGTAGTCAGCAGCAACTTTATCAGAGACCTGTCATACAAAATGTAACCACCAAAAGCAGTTTAATTACACAAGAAGTCAGCAGTCATAGCCCTGGATATATTTTTTCTTCTGCACCAGCTTGTGGATTCATGTCTCAGGGAATTATGAATAGGAGCTCATTTAAAACAGTTCCTAATGTGTCTGAAGTTCTGAACATTTACCAGAACAGTAGCGGCGTATTCCAGAAAACAGGCAGCATGGATGTGAATGGGAACAGCCAAATAGCTGAAGTCTCAAAGAGCAATACCTGCACGTCAGGCCAAAGTGGCAGTGCAGCAGCACATAACCAGCTAAATTCTGTCAGTGAGAAACTACTTGAGAGAAAGTCTTTCCTTAGGAGTTTGCTGCAGGAAAGGTCAAAAAATAAATTAACTACTGCACTGAGTGTCAAAACAGAAACTGCAGGTTTGGCCACTTGATTTTGTTTTTAAATTTTTTTTGAATTCTTTATTTATTTGTCTTCTTTTTCTTCTTCTTTCATGTGCTTGAAAAAGATAATTTATACGTTCAGTTCTTATCTAACATACACTTTACAGTCTGTTGTAATTGAATCAGTGACTCGTAAAGTTTGGCTTCCACCGGTGTTTCTCATGGCTAAAAGTTTTTGCCTCGATATGTTATTCCTGGAATTTTTTTTTATTAGTCTTTTTTTTGTAAGTGGTGAAAAATCAATTATATATTACGCGGGTTATCAAGGGGATGAGAGAGTATCAACACGGCAATCTGCCACAAGTGAATTATTTTGGCCAAATTAAAAATCATAACATTCTTATAAAACAGCTGGAGGGAAAAGTTGAAGGTAAGCAAGCAAAAGACAGATAGAAGGGTAGGATAATATCAAAGTCTGAGAGAGTATACATCAAGGGTGAAAGACAGCGTGTTGGAGGTTCATTTGTATTGTGGAGATGGCACCTGATTTATTGGTTTAACCTACCACTCATTTCCTAAAAGGTGATTAAGAAGGGTGTCAGTGCGGGATTTTTACTTGAGGCCCTGAGCTACATAAATCTCTGAGGCCCCTAATGTTTAAAATAAAACCAGTTAATCTCAGAAACCTGTAAAATATATTCACCTTTAAAATTGTGGGTAATGGAAATATTTGCTATTTATTCTTAGTAAAAAAAAAGATAACAAAGAATATCTTTGCTAAATGACAAAAATTATTTTGAATAAACCTTCTGAAAGGCTGTATTAAAAGAACATTGCAATTTAAATGTGGGAAAAGAAAACTGCATTTGTAACAAAAACAAAAAAAGGAATATATTGTGAGACTCTAAGCTGTAGCTTATTAAGCTTATGCCCAGATCCAGCACTGGAGGGTTGGCGTTGGCACCGACTGTCTCATTTGTAGAAAACATTAGTTGCAAAATCAAACAGATCAGGAGCAAGCCCCTAGAAAGTATCACATAATTTGGTCAATGTTTCCCCATTGTAAATTTGAATAGAGAAGATACAAACAATAGATTGCACAATTTAATTCCTGGCATATTTCGCTGTATCTCATCAGGTGCATACAGTTGTTGTATTTGTACTTCAGTTAAAAATGGATTCACTTATTTGCTTCATTTTTTTTAATTGTCAAGGCAGAATGCATACCTGACAGAATACAGCGAAATATGCCAGGCAATAAATTGTGTAATCAATTAATTGTATCTGTTTTATTCAAACATAATTTGATCTTTGACCCTCCATGTTCCATGGAGGGATGAGAGGAAGAAGTGTGTCAGCTACTTTCTGACACAATACCAAATATAATCATTTTCTGGATTTATTTATTTTTAAATTTGTTAGTGATTTCCAGTGTTAGATTTTATAGTGTGGTAATGAAAGAGTAACCATTTTCTTCTGTGTTTATTTTTATACACATTTGTTGATATTTATCGTTATTAGTTTCTACTGGAGCACCACAATTTCAGATACTATTTACAATGAAACTACTTTGATAGTAAGACCTGTTACTAGAAAGTAGAGCAGTATGGGCATACCAGCTGAAGAGAATACATTGAAGGACCTGTCTGTTGAAGGTTCCTCTGAGTTTTTCATGTAGTGTAAAATTCAGAGATCAGTTATTGTCAAGTTGGGTGGGTGGATGTGTATCAAACCCTCTCCCCCCACTATTTAACTATCAGTGGTATAAAAGGGTAAAGTCAAGAAGGCCTTTTCACATTTGAAGAGGGGCAGGGAGGGATATAGTTAGGATTACATTTGCTTTCATTTTTTTTTTTTGGATCGTCGCTGGATGGGGGAAAGTCTTTACTTCCTGTTTTTGCAGCTTTTAAAATTGTGTTGGATAGAAGGGTCTTGAGTGAGGATTTAGGGCTACATGGTAAGGCAAGTAATTAGGCATGACATGAATTTATTAATTATAATTATAACTAACATAAATGGTAATTTGTATATTTAATTTATTGCTGCTTATTTGTAATTTATCAAAATGTAAATATAATTCTTATGTCATGTTTTGAAAAATATATCTTTTGTATATTTCAGACGGAGAAGCATCAGTGGATAAAGCATGTGAGCAGACTAATAGTAAAAATAAAAAGGGCAGACAAAAACATAAAAATGTTTGCCATTATTGTAAGAAAACATTCTCCACCCCTGCAAACCTCATGAACCACTTCCAGAGACACGAAGCAGTGTCAGGATCCTGGCAAAAACAGTTCAAAGAGCGACGGCTGAAGAAAACCCATGCCCGGTCCTCATCGTTGATGAGAATGCTGTGCTGGAGGTTGAAGTCATTATTGTGCCAGCATGGAAAGAAACCTGCTTATGTATCAGAAACTTCATTAAGATTATTGCTCAAGTACTTAGATGACATGATTCCTTTTCTGAATGGAGCTACATCTTTAAAGCAGATTGGTCAAACAGGCATGAAACAAGAAGTAGCTAAACTCGAGGAAAAGACTGACTTCCATAATGTTGAAAACGCAGAAAATGGGACATTTGATAAAAAATATAATCTGAAAAGGAACTCCGGTGGTCACTCTGTTATGCAAACATTGTTGGAGGCAGCAGCAATAGCTGGAGCAGACCAAGAGCATGTTAGCAGCCCTACTATTTCATCATCTTCATCTCTGGTTGTGGGTACAAACTCAGAGGGAGCAGTACCTACAATTTCCCAGGCACCGCCGACACCAACAGTTCTGATGGAATTAGCAGAAGGCAGTGTTCCAGAGAAGAGACGCAGAAAAAGTCAGAAACTGAAAAGAGTCTCTAAAAAACATAGAAAAACAAAAGATAAAGATGTCAACAATGAAACTGTGATAACCAACAGTACTGGAAATTCATTGAACCATTCTTTTCTAACAAATCTGAATCTTCTTTCGGACGTCAGTATGCAAACGGCTGTATTAGAAACATCAGCAAAAACAGAGAATTCGATTAATTGTGCACATCAGCTTCCTACCAGTGTGTATCCACAATTCAACGAATCATCAGTTTCACATTCCTCACCTTCTCCAATCAGCTGTCTGAATAGTGTGCCTGAAATAAATGCATCTTTTTGTAAAGATTACAAAGCACATTCACCACTACTCACAATTGTAAATGGAAGCAAAGCTGCTGCCATTCCACATTTGCCACCATTACTACTTGCACGGACAGAACCAGGAACATCATTTCTTTTTCACTCTCAAAAGCAAAACCATTTGCAGCTAGGGTCCCCTACATCTTTACTAAGACAGAGTATGACTGTAAATGAAAAGCACCCAATGTTATCCCCATCTTTAATAACAACATCCAAGAGTACTGCAAGCCCTGGCAGTGACTGTGGAGCCATTGATCTGTCTAAACCTAAACTTTCCCAGGCTGTTAAGTGCATTCCATTCTTTGTAGACACAAAACTGGACTCATCAGCCTTGCCTAGCCTGCATCAGATGGTTACTTATGAAAACCCTGAAATTGCATCATTCTTAAAGAGGACCACAACGGCTGCTGATGTGACCCTTCAAGGAAATAATGAAACTCAGTCTGCTGCAGTGGCAGCTGCAGGCAGCAGAAGTGCAAAGTCAGATCTCCAGTTTCCTTCTACAAGCAATACCCTAAGATGTAAAGGCCGAAAAGGGGTGAAAAATACTAGCCAGTTACATACAGTTGTTAATACCTCAAGCCATTCATCTTTACCAGGAGACAGTTCATTGGTGCAGAGTGAAGAAATTCATTGCTCCTACAAATGGACTGGATCCGGTGGAATGGTGAAGGAGCATACACAGAAGGTTCGAGAACTGGTGCCTTCACATATCATGGCAAGTTTCCTTTCTAAACCTTGGTTGCCATCTGCAGTCACTGAACCCAGCAGTGTCAGCCTTTACCACTCTCCTAAAGCTCCAGTTGCAAGCCCACCACAGACAGTGATGTCCAAGTCAGAACACCTGATGCCAATGAAGCCTCATAACTTCCCTGTAACCTTGGCTGCTCTAAACCTATCCAAGAGGAAACCGATGGATGTAGCTCATTTTAATAATGGAGTGTCTGCTAGCTCTCAAAATCAGGCTCTTATTATCTCTACGTCAGTTTCACCTGCTGTTTACCATACCTCACCTTCACCAAGTTCAGCAAATGCAAAGTCTTCCTGTGTTAACATTTCAGGACTCACAGACTACCACCCTGCACACCATCCTGAAACCACAGATGTACAAGATCGTCATCCTGTTACAAGTAGCCCATATAAGGCACAGTTTAAGCACAGGAACTTCATCAATTCCTCATCACATTTGTCAGCTCATACTTCTTCCTCCACTGGTACAGCTGTGCCCAGTCCAAGCCTAAGTGTATTAGGTCAACGAGCAGACAAGCATGATTATAATTCTAGGAGCATTATGGGCAACAGTTCTCCCCATGGAAGATTGCCAGATTTCATAATCAGTCAAATGATCACACCAGTTAATTCTGAGCTGTCTTGCTCTAGAAATACTTACATTAAACCTGAGCCAGATTTTTCTCAAAATCTGGATCAGGGAATGACTATCATGTCCTTGCCAGTCAAAGAAGAAAATGTGGATCTAGATGTAAAAAATGGGAATATTTCAAGTGAAGGTAACGACTCTTCTCCTACTAATCTTGTTCTAGATATGAGCCCAGACTCAACAACCATCAAAGATGAAGTGAAGACATTAACTTTAGGAGGCCATTTCATTTCAGAGAAAGCAGATGTGATTTCTCAAAAAAATTCAGTTATGTGTGATTCTTGAAATGTTCATTTCTTTGCTTGCTATAAATCTCGCTCATTGGATAGCAGAAAAAGAATTCTTCCATGTTACCTAGAACCTGTTTTAAGAACAGGTGATAAACAAACCCAAAATTCTCCTTAAGGCTTCAGAGCTGTAGCTCTACAGAAGAATGATCAGAATTCCATGACAGCCAAAAATAAGTAATCTAAAATGATGAGAGAGCCAAAGTGCAATGAAAACTTCTGACAGCATCAGAAAGAGTCAGTTGTGATTTTTACCTTTTGAAACAGGAAAAAACATATATGTTGGGACATTTAGACAGATTTGCTTAAAGAGGTAGCAGGCAAGAGGTATAGAGGAATACAGTGAAAGATGATTTATGACCACCTTATGTCATGTCATATAAAGGCATTAGCGCACTCATTTCTACAGGCTGTTTGAGATTGCAAGGTATGGAGAATCCAAAAAGTGGTACAAATAGGGGTGACTGCAGTTAAGCTAAATCAAAGAAATTAATCCAGTGAACTGTGACTAAAATGCTTAAGGAAATGAGAAAGCAGGAAAACGTGCATAAAACAACATAAATCAACATTTCAGCCAGGGCCTTTCTCAACATAACACAACTAGACAACAATAACAAAGGAGAAAGTACTCCAACCACCAGGGGGTCACATGAGAAACTATAAAAAGGTGATGTGGAATGAATAAAATGAAAGGGTATGGAGAAGCATGATCACATATTCCAGTAGGCAAGGCACTTGGTGATGTGGGACTTCATGTAACTTCTGCATTAATTTATTTTTAAATAACCAGAATTTTTTGTTAAAGAAGATAATGCTGAGCACAGTGTAAGTATTTTTATGAATGAGACTTGACATGATCTGGCACTAGTTTTTAATTCATTAAAATATATTCTATGCAATAATATGATTATTTGTATTAAATTGATTTTGTTACATTTGTTGTAACAAGATAGCCTTAATATTAGTCGAGGTTTCAGCTTCACTGCAATCGGGTCACCTCATACTTGATCCGTTCCAGTGCCAGTGAAAATCAAATTGAATGTCCGGGACAGTCCCATTTGAAAAACTGGTGAACAAATAATTAGTCCCAGAACAATTCAGTAATATGCCCTTACAGTAAATGCATGTGTCTATTGCTAGAAGCACCAAAACCAAAGTCGCTGCCAGAAATGCAGTTTGTCGTTGATGGAAGTAGTCGGGTAACAAGATAGTTTTGGTCTTTAGACTCTGTAAGCATCTAAAACCAGTTTTGTTAAATTCTGCATAAAGAAAAAAATTTTGTTAACCCAGTGTACCATTTCCCTATGAATTGTTTACCACTGTTTAGGGCGGTACATAACAGAGGGGTCTTGAGCGTCAGGATTTAGGGCCACATGGCTAGTGCTGTCGCCACAAACTGTGTAGGTTAGGATGTTTAATTTTGCCTCTGGCAGAAACAAATATGTCACCTAACTGAGGACTCAAACCTGAGATCTTCTGAATAAGAGCCCAATGTTCTCAATTGTTGGCTAGCCCCTCCATTAAAAATGTATCAGCTTCTTCTTTTCGTTCTTCCTGCCAGTGGTTTTTTAGATGAGAAGGTCACAAGCTTCTATGAAGCCTTTGGTGCGACTCATTGTGCATGCCAGTAGCATATGTTATGTATTGTTTTGTCCACATGGGCACAGTTCTGAATCCTCAGTTATAAATTTCCTGTACATAAGGCTGCAGAGTGTTGAATCTAGTACAGTCTAAATATAATGGTCTGTTTTTTTCCTGTGAGGAGGTTGATGCGTCTTCAGCATTGTGTCCTATGGTGGGAAGTGTTCCATTGTAAAGAATGTATGACAGTTCATAATGTTTCCTAAATATTAAAATGCTGATTATACAGGCAGCTGTTGTGATGTTAACCACATCACCCACTGAGTGCCAGTTGGTTTATAATATAAATATTAGTCTAGCCCTATATGCCCAATATGACTAAAGACGAGGAAAAGGGTCCTTTACTTTTTACTTTAGTTTACTTTATTGTAACTGTTTGTCAAGATTAGAAACTTACTAGCTTGTTGCAAATAGTTGCATGATCAAAACTTCCGGTTAAAATGGACGCTAGGCAGCGGCACTATTCGAAGCAGAGGCAAATTTTTTTGCTTCTTCCGGACGGTGGCCGATGCATTTTTGCTCCATCTGTAGACTGGATATAGTTTGGTCGCCCAGCTTCTGAGTTGAATGCATGGTGTGACACTGTAAGCTGCGGATTGCATTTGGAATGTTTTTTCGACTGTGACCAACGTGGTGGTGTGAATTGTAGATTCAGATAATGGCGCGATGCCTGTCGTGCAATGTTGGCGGTGCCCATATGTGATTAAAATTAATTGCGTGGGCAACTGCTGATCTGTTGGCGACAGGTTCTGCTATCATCAATGATGAAATGCATTTTTAATGTTGGACTGTTTGTGTTAGCACTTCGGATGGCTACCGTATGCTTTAATGCAAGTGTATGCTAGATATGCTGAGACAGCAGTTTGTCAATCTTCCCACAAGGGACTGTGATAGACATTCTGTGTGTTTTTCATTGGCACAGGAATGGAGCAAAGATGGGGTGACCCATTTGCTATGAAGCTGAAACTAAGACTAACAGACCAGTTGCATCTTGGGAGTGTAGTGGTGTGATTTATACAAAGCATAGCCCTGAACCACTACTGGTGATCATGTGAGATTAACAGCAACCACCCAGGCTTACTGAGATGGTACATGATTATAATGATACTTGTATGGATTGTCATATACCAGTTTAAGTTCAAGGAAGAATAAATGTTGTATACAGGATGTCTCATAAGTTTCTATACTTAGGAGGAATAAACAGTATCATCAGTGTATCACAAACATAATATCATGTGTTTTTAAAACAATGGTAGTCATGTAGAGCATATTATTTAAATATAACATTTTTAAAAAATATATTTATTTGTCCTTCGTGTGGAAACACAGCTAATATATTTTAAAGTATCAAGATTTGTCAGTGTCTCTGACCTAGGGGTTATGAACATGATTCGTTTGATATACGAGAAGCTGTTATCAACAGCTGATGTGAAATCTGTGAAGCATCTACAGTTCTGATACACTGGCACACATATGTATCCATGTTGTTGATTTCCTGTGTTGGGATTATTACCTCATCTTTGCAAGATTAAATAATCGAGAGTAATTAATAAGCATTGAAGACGCATTGGCTGTGAAAGAACATAGGCCTGGAGAGAGAGAGAGAGACTTTCAGGCATGCAGTGATGTTTTATTAAGGACCTACTGATTGACGATGGATGCATAAGGATAAATACCCCATACTAAAATAGGATTTAAAAAAATAAAAACCACTAATATCCCAGTTTTAATCTAGATGTGTTGAACAAGATCATGTAGAAACTATAACAACACATTAGGATGCTTTCTTGAAGTACAAGCACTTATCCTGTCAGAATTAATAATGATTATCCAATTTTTCATGTAACTGCGGCTGTTGTGAATTAATAGGCATGTTAACATGTTGAATGTTGAATTAAGAATCAACATCACAGCACTTGGGACACCACCATAAGTGCTCCATCTCCTTCTTCAGCAGCAAGCGAAGAGTTCCAATTCCAATGGCATCAGTAACTGTCGATTGTATATCCGTTTCACCTTTTCCCTGAGTGTTGAGCACCAGCCAGATCCCCTGGTAACTCCCCGCAGCGCCATTCTTCCCAGACCATAATAATCTATCTGTGCCTCCTGTTCAATCGCTCCCAAAGATCCCTCACAACATTTAGTTTGTCATACATCAGTTCTCAAACAAGCGGTCAGACTCAGCCAGTCTATCTGCCTGCTCATTTCCCAGCACACCGGCATTCCTAGAAAAAATATCCTAAGGATACTAACTACCTGGGACCTATGAAGTGATGCTTCCCCACTTTGCACAGAGCATGCCTGTCTCCACCTTTCTCAACATGCTCTGCGAGTCAGTTACAGTCATAGCATGTGTGTACAGCTGATTCTCAAGCAAGCGGAAGGTGGCTTTTAACATTTTGAATGAAACAAATGACTTATTATTTAACACTTGCTTGCATTCTTCCTGTCAGAAGTAATAAGGATTATCTCATTTTTCATGTTACTGTAAGCTGGCAGCTTTTATTGCAACCTGAAATAGCAATTATAATCAGGGCTTTTTTCAATAGAAAAAAGTTACCTGTACTGATCACTAGGTGTCTAATAAAAGGTGCCGGTACGCACCACAAAGGGTGCTGAGTAGTGCTGGGAAAAAAAAGTGTATGTATTGCATACCATCAGAGAAAAAAGCGTTGTTTTAACACTTGTCATATTTATTGTTATGAAATAATGGGCATATAAATGTTTTGAATGAAAAATCAATGTTATTTAACACTTGTTTGCTTTTATCTTTTAATTCTGTGTTAAAGTATATTTACTTTGATTGACAACTTTATCATTTTTTTTTTTTTCATTTCTTATGAAATGAGGGGCATATTAACAGTTTGAATTTAATAATGATCTTTATTTATTTAGCGCTTGCTTTTATTCTGTGTTACAAAATATTTACTTGAAATTACAATTATACTATCTGTTACATTTAATTTTCCAAAATAAGGTGCATATTAACAATTTGAATGTAATATTTACCACTATTTTATAGCACTTGCTATGATTATGTTTTAAAATATGTTTACTTGAAATTACAGCTGCACTTATTATACTAACTGTTATGTGATTATTTCATTTATTTAAAAAACTACATATACTATATATTAAAAATAACAGTCTATATTCCTACATTCTATTACGATTAAACATTAAGCAATATTAAATAACCAAAGGTGATTGACAAGCATAAATATCCAATACTGAAACAGACAAAAAATTGCATTATGTCCCAGTTATAACCAAGAGAAGTTGAACAGGATATCAACACAACATAACAGTCTATACACATCCTACAGTCCAAAAAAAAAATATCCAATTAGAAAAAAA